ACAAACAACAATGCTCTTAGATATTCAAATTGGTTTGACTACTGTATTAACTTATTTGAGGGAAAACCTGGAAAATTGCTACCTTAGTTTTATTGGTTACAGACCTGATCACCTAATAGCAATGAAGATTTCTAAACAAAAGAAATACAGAACAAAACTATAATAGCCATTAAAGGTTATACAAAGCAGTCACTGTATTTTCTTTTTGTTAATTTATGTTTTTATAAGAAAAACCCCAAACCTACTCTTCGCTTCCCTTAGTTGGCAAGTTTGGAAATATGGCATAAAAAGCAATTTAGCATCACTTATTGTGAGCAAACAAATGCCTGGTATTCTGCAGTGGTCCCTGTCACAGGAGCTTACAACCCACAGCGCTGCTCCCACAGCTACCTCTGTCCATGCACAGATTCAGCATCAATACTGGGCTTCAAAAGACAAAGCAGAGCATCTCTAACACTTGTCCTTCTCACCTCCCCTAGTTATCCCCTGCTGTAAGCGGGAGAGGGGCCTCCAGAACTGGTGGTCTGCAGCAGAGCAAAAGGGAAGGGCCAGAGGCCTGTTGCTGGAGACATGACTAGCTGCCCAGCACGTTTCCATTCTGCCATTTAACTGCTGAGGTCCTGTACAACTTAGCCCAAATCAAATATCTTTGTCCCCATCTAACCTGATGCACAAGCTCTGATTCATCATTTGCTATAGAGCGGATTCCTGTGCAGCACAGGGAGTATTTCTTAAGGACCTAACAGAGGGCAAGCAAGGGCATGACTTTACCACATGCTAACTGCTCTGCTTCACCCTATGCTAAATGGGAGTTCATGGCCTACTCTTTCATGGAAAAGTAAACTCCCTTCAGTTACTTTGCATCTATCATGTGCAGAGGCACATGGCTGGGCATCTACCAAGAAGTGGCTGGTATGAACTTACCTGCTACCCTGTGACAGCTTGTCTGAGTGTCCATTCCCCAGCTGCTCACGGACCGATCACACTGCACTGGTAATGGATCAACCAGTCCAGCCCATGAAGCAGATGTGATGGCTTGCAAACCCAAAGCTTAATAATGACACTAAGTCTCTATATTTAACTGACTGCAGCGGCCCTTTACCTGTTCCTCTATCTGCCTTAGAAGATGCTGTTGGAGTGCAAAAAAAAAGGAGATGCACGTGACTGGAAAGGATGGAGTGGCAGATTGTTCTGCTCCTGACATTCCCCCACCTCTCTTCTGCTCCATAAAGACCCAACAAGTCCCAAGAAACGGCCTTCACACAATGACAGTCCAGCAAAAACAGCCCAGGAGACAAAGCTTGCTGACACCAGGGTAACCCAGTGCTAATGAGAGAAAGGGTCATTACGACCAGCCAGGGGAGCTGAAAAACTGCCTAAGGAGCAAAGAGAAGCCTTTGGGTGGGACGTGCTAACACTCCAGCATCAGAGGTTAATCCCCCAGTGCATGGAGGCTGTCAGCACTCTGCAGAGGTGCTAATCCACGGCCCAGTGCCTGACTCAGTCTGATAACACCTCCTGGACATGGCTCCTCCTTCACCAAATTGGTGCTGAAGCTGGGTGAAGTCCAGGGAAGGATGCTTTATCTCTTTAGTAAGAGGTCTATAGATTCAGCCATTTCCCGTACATGAACAAACCAAAGGCTTACAGTTTTTGGCAGCAGAACTTAATCTCATAAGCAGTGAAATAAAGCAATTCCATGGATGCACAGCACCAGCAGAGAGAGAGAAACAAACACCACAGTCTGCACTGGAGTCCTCAATTTCTTGATAATTTGTGTAATCTGGAATGTTCCCCTGTCCACCTCACACCATACTTGGGGCTCCCAGAGGAGCCAGAAAGCTACTTCCCAATGGCTCTGCACACTACTGAGTGGATAGGACTATTCGCTACACAGCAAAAAGCACCGTGGCAATAACCATCTCCAGTGTTATACATGCAACAGGCAATGATGCCTCTGAACTGATGTTCATGCTTGTCTCCCAGTAAGCTGTCTGCAGTGTAAGGTAGGTTACTGCATGCCTGAGTTGTCAAGTGCAATACCAGTGATGTCTGGTTTCAAGCTCAAGAGACCTATGTACACAGAACTTCTACCTAAACATAAATCACATACATACACCTTTGGATACTGAGACAGCCAAGCCTGTGCCCACACCTTAAGAGGATTCTTTAATCAAAGAGAGGATCTTTACTAGCTTGTTTCTTTCATGCTAAACCATCTTCAGGTATTAACATTTAATTTTGCCCAGACATTACTAGAATCCTAAACTAAAGTTATTCTTTGTCATCAGCTTATCCCAAGAAAAGAGAAGTCCACACATAGTAGGAAACAGCTTTCCCTATTCTTAAGACTTCAGTAAATGGATTAAGGAAAGTCCTGAAAAGCTTTATTGGTCCCAGAGAGAAGTCACTGTTGATTATGGGTGACCAATTTTGCTTCTTGATCAGACTTTTGGCTACTAAAGACACAAGTGCGATCAAAATACACATATGAGTTGCACCTCCCTACTCTCCTCCAGAACCATCTGGCCCAAATTATATTATCAAAGCAGAGGATGTTACTACATTCACCCTTTATTGAATCCTGGGAAAAACGCTTTGAGATCAGCCCCAAACTATTTTACTAGCTCTCCTCAACCTTGCTGAAAAAGCCCTCAAATTACAAAGTTAATTGGCAGCACATTGTTACCATATGTGGTGTGCAAGAGAAGCACTGAAGTTTATTTAGGCAACAGAACCAAAGGGGAGTGGAGTATTACTGCTCTCTATGAGGATTTCTTGTTGGCCTTGATTATGAAGGCATCCCCAGCCTTGATCCTCCTGTGTGCAGCCTGCCCAACATACCACAGCACACTGCAACATGGGGGCATCCATCTGTCCCCATCCTGGTTCTCCAGGAGAAACTCAGGACACATACTGTTTGCTGTGCTTTTGCTTATGAGACCTCAGTGGTTTTCTTTTCCATGTTCGTATACTTCTTTCCTGAGTAAAGTTTTCCAGGCTGTCTCACATCTCTAAAGCATGACCTTGAACACAACCAGCTATGCTCTGTGGCTTCTGGGTCACACTGTCTCTAGCAGAGCAATGCTCCTTGCTCTAGATGCTTCACTCCTCTTGCTGGATTTCTCTCAAATCTTTAATGAGTCGGATTCTTGGTCTACAGGCTCCAATTTCCACTCTTCCTATTTAAACTCTCAGCAAAAAAAGGTCTTTAGCAAATCTGTATCACCAGGATCCTACTCAGACTCTTCTTCCCTCTTTACACTTCAGCAGTAGCTTCTCAGAGCCTTTGCACTGATGCAGCAGCATTCACTAAAGTGTGAAGTCCCAGCAGCTCCAAGACAGCAGACCATAGTTGACATCTTCATTAAAATTTGTACCCGCAGGCTAGAAATATTCTCTCTCTGTTTTTAAACTGTAATATAATCACTGTATTAGAGCATCCTTGCACAGACAACACAGGGTATACTCATATTCCAGCCCCACAGATGCACCTGCAGAGCTCCAGCTGCCCCAGCTGAATGAATGAACTACAATTTACACAATCTAGCAGGGGTCATAGGCAAAGACTGCTTGCCTTAAAGCTCCATAAACTATTTTTAAATGCTCAAATGGACTTTCATGAAGTGAAACATCAGGTTTCAATTAAGATGCCTTCATTTTCCAATCTGATGTGTGTTAAACAACCTATCAAAACCTCATAAACTTCAGTTCACAGCATTTTCATTTCCGGATTCTCTCTTCTCCTCTCAGTTTAAGTAATATCTTGTGTATTAAAATAACGTGTTTAAAAATAAATACAAATCTGGAGAAAATAAAGGCAAAACTCTGATTATTTCTGTCCTTTACTGGGGCAGCAGACTTGATTTTCCAAAAGACAAATGAAGACCACGTTGTTCTAAGGGTTAGTTCTGGGGAATGCAGAGAGGTGAGTTAAGTTACTTTCTAGCTGATGGGAATATTTGGGATAAGATACCTTCAGCGCACAGAGCACAAATCCAGTGCTTCCAGAATCCCATGACAGTGTCTGTATGTACATATGCAGCAACACATTTCACAGTCATTCTGTGTGGCTGAATCTGTCTCCACATCTCGCATACCGCATTTGAAAAAGCGCATTTCTTATCTCCAGGCACCCACCCATCTGACCTGCACAAAAGAAACGTCTCTAATATTTCTGAAGACTTCACGACACAATTAGAGCATGGAAAATGAGGCACTATTCTGTCTAGTCTGAATCCGTGCTGTGACATGGCAAATCTCCAGTACTGATAACAATGGAAGAACAATGCCAGGGGCAGAGCAAGCAAACCTTGTCCAGCAAAAGTGCTTCTCTCTGGGTTTGTCAGCTGTGCTAATGTGCCCAAAAATGTCACGTGTAGACTCTATCAACAACTGTATCACATGTGTACATGAGTAATTCACCCACCCAAGTAATACTTTCTCTAATGGTTGATATATTAGGTAGAGCAAATATAAATAGGTTCTGAGGACAGCGTTGCAGTGTGAAATGATCCAGAAAACCCAAGTCAGCACCTACTTCACACTAACACTCCAAAAAGCTGCACTGGAGGTGAGAGATACGAGAATGACCATGAAGGTATTTGTTAATAACTATGACCTAAAACTGTGTTTTGCATTGTTTTCTTTTGTAAGCATTTAGATCTAAAACTTGTCACTGTAAGATCAGAATTTCTTACCAAAAGCCCCATAAAACAAACCTTTACCCTCTTTTACTGTGACCCTGGGATTCAACTTTACAGTTGCTTTCAAGGCACTACTGAAATGTTGCCAATTCCCCCCCCAAATCCACAGTGTGTTCCAAGGAAGGATCTTGCCTTGGCCTGAAGGAGGCTGAGCGCTGCCACCAGAACAGAGCCAAAGTCCCTTCAATGTCCAGCAGTGGAGGCCCAGAGGAAAAGTAAGAACAGCGTAAGCCTAGTCTGCTGCTTGGTCTCTTGTCCATCCCTGTGGTTTTGCTTGCTTCGCTTTATACCTACCCCTCTGCCCATCAGGCCGTTGTTGAAAGGCAGTCCGATGAAGCTGAAAGCTGCCTCCTGGATGAAGTAGGGATTCAGGATACGTATCTCATGAGGTTCCCTTGGGACACGGGTTGCCACTGACTTCCAAAAGCCATCAGAGGCACTCTGGTAACAACAAAAAAAAAGGAATGATAAAACAACAAACACAATTATATACAAAAGATAGCTGATTGCTACTATTCTTAAAAAAAAAAAATTAAATGCATTACTGGCAGCAGTTCCCACTTGTCCCTGCTCATTGCTACAAGGCACTAGTATAAGGCTGTAGTGGTGGGGCACATGCTGGAGGGGTGACAGCAGCATATGCAGATACACTAGTGTGAGGAGGACTGAGAGGCCTGGTCTTCAGCATGAATGACTCCCTCCCTCGTGCCATCTTTTCACTCTTATTGGCACTGCAGCTGGTTCGATTAATGGATTAAGCATTCCAGCAAATGCTGTGATCACTCCCACCTGCCTCCAAGGGGATGTACCCTTGGATAGCAAATGCTTTCAGGAACATTCAAAGAGCTAAAAATGACCGTACAGCCCTACTTTCAGTGTGAGCTACACGCTTCCCACTTTATCCTAGATTTATCCTCTTCTGTGAGATTTTATGTGAATTAAGCTGTGAGCTTATAAAGGTGCCATATTGTTTTGCGAATGGCCATGCATGTTCATGGTACAAAGGGAAAAAGCCCTAAGTATGTCCTTTATGTTTGCCAACAGATTTGCTTTTTAATTAAAGTCTTCACCTTGCAAACATGGGAGAACACTGGCCTTGAATACTGCTGCTCTGATAGACAGCCCTGCCCAGAGAGGGGTTCATGCCTCTCTGCCACATGACTTTATATCATTGCTCCTGCTGGCCCAGATGTTAGCAGGTATAGTATGTACTGCTCTCAAAATAACCGGAGGCTCAGTGTTCACAGGACTTACAGAACAATTATGTTCTAACGTTTCACTTCTGTTTGGGTTAAGAATTCAGAGCAAGGCACAGGGAGGATGGCAGGAATTTTAATCTGCTAACCAATAGCTTTAGCAGGGTCATCTGACTGAATACCTCCTCGCAGCATTGAGCCATCTTCCCTTCGATCCCCATGACAAGCAACAGAGGCAGACATTACACTCTACATAAAAAGCATGTACTGTGAAAGTAGTTATTTACACCTGTTTTGGGTTGCTTCTAGCTTAACAGTGAGTTTAAGTTGCTTTCAAGGCACTGCCTAAAATGTTAATGATCCCCTGCAAAATCCTGAGGAGCCTCCCCACCCAGTAGCATTTACCCCTGTAATTACTGACGGTAATTCTGCCATAGCCGAAGCCTGCTGCATTTCACACACTACTTGTACTGTGCACGGCTCCTGTGAACTCTCATGCTAAACACCTTACAGAGGTTCCTTACGGACCAAACCCATGGTTATCTTTAGCTGCTGAATTTCAGATTCTGAAAAATGAACCTTTGGTAGATGGCTCTTGCTACAAAAGGCATTAACACAGCAAATTCAATGAGTACGCACACCATTATCCAAACCAACTGTCTAAGGCAGTCAGATGTCATTGCTATCCTGTTTTGGTCCCATGTGCCTCCTGAAAGCAACTCAAACATAATACACTTTTGCTGACCAGAGCAAGGATCCTGTGAGATTAAGTTTCGACATTTCGACAATGGCAAAGTGCTCTCAGGAGCCTAAATGGAAAAAAGTCCTAATTAACACTTATACTCTTTCATCATAGTTGAATTAGAAAGAATGCCTGGTGTCAAAGCAGTCCAACATCCATTTGACCAAGAGGTTTGAGGGATTTGGTAAGTCAGCTGAGTTTTGCATCCTTGCAAAAATTCATTAAAAGTTGGATAAATATTAAACATTTGAAATTTCCTAAAGGCACGTGTAAAGCAAAGGCCTTTCAGTTCCAGGAAAGGAGCGAAAAAAAAAAATTTAAAAAAACCAATATCACAAATTCCACTTGCATTAAGCATGCTCGAGGTCTCACAGAAATGAAGATGACAAACAAAAATCTTGAACAGCTACTCATTCAGCGAAACCATCTTATCATGGGTTTAAGCAGGCACACCCTGGAAAAATAGTGTGTGACCTTGAAACTAAAAGAAATTTGTAAGTTCGGTTATGATTTCACATGCGACTCTAAAGATGGCATTGCCTAAATTTTGCAAACAATTCAAACCAAAGGTCTGCAAGCTATTTAAAGTGGGCAAAAGCCTCCTTTTGTTTGGAGTCACGCGCCATAAGGAGATTCTAGTTGGTTTTACATGGCTTTTACATTACACACAAAGCATTAAAGAGAAAAAGAAGAAAGATTACAAGCATTTGAAACTTTCTGCTGCTGCCTGAGTTGTTCAGAAAGAGATAACTACACATATCACGGTTGCCTATTTTCCCAGTGCTGTGCGAACCACACTGGGGCTCCTCTCAGCTAGTTCAACACCAGTACAAAACAAATGTGGACCCTAGCCCTAGCTGGGAACACAACCTGTCTGCTTTGGTCCCTGCTGCATGGCTGTTTCTCCTGTCATTCATCCAGACTACTTCCCTAAGCATTTTCCTCAGTTATCACACTGCTCTAAAACTGCTCTGGTTTCTCCCTTTTGTCTCATTTCTATTTGCTCTATGTTCTTCCCTGGAACTTTTCTGGGCAGTTCCCCTGAGATTATTCCTGAGGGATTACTGGGGTAATCTTTCATTTTGGTGTGTTTTCCCTCTGGAGTTTCTAAAATGATTGTAGGGGCAAATGTGGAGTCCCAGCAGACAGCTCTCATACTTCCATCTATACAGTAGGCAAAGCCCTATATAGGACTAAAGAACTAAAAAGTGTCTTCGTGGCTTATAATTACTGAAATTCTCAGCCTTGTGGTTTGGCTCTACAAACCCTGCAGTTTTGAGCTACATCTCAAGCCTTGTGGTTTTGTTCTGCAGCTTGTCACTGGCAAGCTACAAAACACAGCACCACCACAACGGCAAGCCCCGGGAGGCAGCTCCCCTGACGCAAGCCCCTGGGGAGCCGCGGCGTCGGGAGCGCAGCCCCTTCCAAGGCTCCGCGCTACCGCTGATGCTCGGCCGCGGGACGTTGCTGCGCCTGGTGTGGATGTTCGGGCTGATTGGACACAGATGTTCAGCGAGGTTTCCAAAGCAATTACTTCCCATCGGGGAACACTGTCCCTTTTTAGGCTGGGAGGAAACAAGCAGCCACCCGAGGAGCAGCAGGCACCGGGAGGGAAGGTGCACTTTTCCGACCAGATTCGGGAGCTCAGACTTGCAGTTTGGGGTTGGGGGCATCCCCTGTTCTCCACTACAGTGACTAAGCCTGTGCTGCTTTAGGGTGGGCCCCTGAAGATGCAGTATCTCCCTTCCTGATTATCATACTGCTTAGGCAATGTTCCCACAGTACCTCATCACCTCCTGCCATTGAGGTGGAAACCATAGGGTCTAGGCTGGAAATCAGGTTCCCTGTGTTACGTTCCCACTTCTATTATTTGTGGGTATCACTGTGCACCCAGAACCTCAGACACAACATTCACAGTGCTAAGGGCAGCCAAAGAGACCTTATAGTATAAGCATAAAGAAACAAGCAACACAGAGAGGCAGACAGGAAAACATGACTGAAGAGCAAGTCTCTGAGGGCCACAGTATTTTTAAGCAATCTTGGAGTATTTTCAAAGTTGTATAATTGTAAAGGACATCACTAAGGGTTTCAGAGGAGACTATTAAAAAATTAGAAAGAATTTACATGGGCCAGACCTTTCAGGACAGTCTCTTGTATAGATGTCATCCAGGGAGAGAGGCAGAAATATCCCCTCTAGAGACACTACTCCAGGAATAAACAGGTACAGACGTGACAGACCAGAGATGGCAGGTTATGAGGAAGGGATAAAAAATGTCAAGGTTCACCTAATAGCTACAGGGACAAGACAATCCAACTATAATTTGTCATTCTGTCCATTTGCAGAATACTGAAGGATAACAGGGACAGCTGGTTACAAGCTATTTTTGTCTCCATCCAGTTTTCCATCTCCTGTTCTCAAATTTACCAAGGTGAATCAAAATATATGCTAAAACAAAACATGCAAACTTGGAGCCTTAGCCAAGAAGTCCACCTCAATAGAAGGTACAAACAGCTAGAAGCAAGCTGAGTCTCCTAGAATAGCATTTCTAATATACTAAGCAAAATGAAGGGTAATGCTATTGCATCCTGATGACACGGATGGTGCCTCTTCTGTACCTCTGTGAGACTGCTGGATTAGGAGTACAAAGCATCATGGCTCTGGAAGACTTCTAAGTCTGATGGGAAGGGGACAGGGAGATTGCAAAGGTCAGCTAAGCACCACACAAAGTTGAATAATGTCTACGTATACAATACTCTGCTGCAAAGAAACAGGAAAGATGAAAAGACTGGAGAGAGAACCTTTACTGCTCTTTCAAACTCTGGTAACACCAGAAATGAAGAAGAAGGGCATGAGGGAAGAAAAAGCCAGAGGATGACATACCAGTCATAAGACCTCACTGTGCCTGGGACATAGTTCACTGGGATCTCTGCCCCCACCTAAGCTGGAATGTGGTTTATTCTACACCCGTCATCCACAGGCACTCACTATCACACAAACACAGGGTACAGCAGGACTGCTGCAATCCATCTTGCAGAGGCTTTTGAAAGGTTTCTGCTCAGGCATAACTGGATTAGATGTGAAAGGTGTGTTTCTGCTAGAAAACAACCATCTTATCAGCCAATGTTGCATTTCTCAGCGGTCAAGTAGACACAGAGGCCTAGAAAATGCTCTTCTACAAGAGGTAATATAAATGAAGTTGCATCATTTGCACCAATTATCAAAGCAACAAGGAATTTTTAGCAATAAGAATAGAGGTGCTGAGAGCCTGCAGTCTGGGTTGATGGTCAACTGCCAGACGCACTAGCCCACACTTCAAATATATTTACGCAACCTTCTCAAAGTGATGGAGAACCCCTCACCACCCTCTGTATATGGCTCTGATGGCCAGCACTTATTCTGAATTTCCCTATCTTCAGTTCCTAGAGTCTAGAAAGGCTCTAGAGTCTAGAGCATTTTGTTCCACTCTTATCTGCCCCACTGAAAAGCTCTTATTCTGCCTGAA